TGCTCATGCAACGTTATTGCCGGCGAGTTAGCAGCGAGAGAGAAAGACAGAGAGAGAGAGAGAGAGAGAGTGGGGAGGGGGGAGAAAGAGAGTGCCGGCACAATGTATCATACTTTAAAGCCACCCTCTCGCTCTCTCGCTCTTCACGGTATCTTATTTTCTCACGCGGGAACAGCTGCATGTTGTAATCGCGATTATCCGCGTGTTTACGCACGTCCGCGCTCGCGCAAGTATTACCGCGAATTATCTCACCGCGAAAGGAGACGCGTGCGCGTGTCCGGTGCCTGCGGCGGATTCCACGGCAGCGCGGAGGGACGAAGGGTCGCAAAGTCGCAGCGTGTATATATACATATATATGCTCACATATATATATATATATATATGTATATATCGCGGAATCCCAAGGCGGCTCTCAGTCGCGACGGCCCCGGCATTATCGCCGGCTAAATCCCGTTTACACCGGCGCTTATCCCCGACCGAAATCCGCTTAGGCCGACGCCGACAACTGCAGCCGTGGAAATCCCCGGAGACGGCGCGACGCGAGGCTGCAAATGAGGGCTTCGATTTTTTAAGGGAGCATCCGCCCGCCTTCATGCATGCGCCGTCTTCACGCGGCGAGACGTCTTCACGTGCGAGCGCGACTTCTCATCGAGAGATATATATTCGCTCGTGCGGGCATTTCCTTCGCGAAACCCAGCCCGAGGTTATATTCCGAGGAAATCGCAGGCGATTCGCGACTGCTCGATGGATTAAGCTCTCTCAGAAATGTGCCGGGAAATAACAGGCTTGACGTAGGGGAAAATCGACGCGTCATATCCAGGTTATTCGTATTCTCGGCTGGATAACAAGCAGAAGTACCCAATAAAACTATGACAGAAGGAAAGAGAGAAAGAGAGAGAGAGAGAGAGAGAGAGAGAGAGAGAGAGAGAGAGAGAGAGAGAGAGAAAGAGAGCGAGAGAATAAGAAAAAGAGGTAATTTATCCACAAGAGGGACTGGAGTGTTATTTCATAAACGAGAATCTCTCTACGAATGCCTAAACTGACCTGCGTCGAGAAGGGAGCGCGAACGTTCGTCGTGCCGTCTAATATAGCGACGTTCGCGCTTTGATTTTACTGCTTCGCAGAATGGAAGAACTTCCTACATTCCCATCTCATGTGTCCCCTTTGAATCAAACTTTATTGTACATATTTGCAAAGACTGGTAATTTATGGACCGTAAGGAGGAATAGAATTGCAGCGAGAGTAATAATTTTGCTGGACTAGGAAGTTGAGATGCAAAGCGGAATAAGGTTGCGGCATCGTTCGCGGCATGCGAGCATCTCGATACAAATACGTTGAAGCGGTCAGGGACGTTGTGAATGTTTAATTCAGAAACTCGCGAACGTTATTTGCCTCACATTGTACACTCATAGATCCAGTCATATTATTACGGTGAAACGAGATATTCATGTAATCTAATTAAAAGCACATTAAACACAATTAAATTGCACAATTAAATTCAACATATCGGATTTATGATTTGGCAAAAGCGACGTGAAATAGAGATAGTGAGAAGGAGAGAGGGAGAAAGGTAGAAAGATAGATAGATAAATAGAGAGAGAGAGAGAGAGAGAGAGAGAGAGAGAGAGAGAGAGAGAGAGAGAGAGAGAGAGAGAGAGAACAATTGCAGATGCGGCAAAATTTGTTAAACCACTGACGAATTCGCAAATTGTATTCGACAGACATGCCATTTGTCCAATAGTAAGGCAATTAATTTCGACCGTGAAAAATATTGCGGCAGCTACGAGTGTGCTTTTTTAATATCAATAAGTATCAATGCACTGCTAGAACTGTGTCAACGTAAAATATAATTTTAAATATCTGTATTCATGTATATAATACACCAATAGCCATTGATACATTAAACCATCTTTTCTCTTTTAGTCGCGGCGTCGGTTTTGTCTCCATTCTAAATTTCAATCTCTCTCTCTCTCTCTCTCCTCCTCTTTCTCAGATCCGATTAGTCAACGTACAATAAGAACCTCTAATTAGCGCATTACATGCAACTTTATCAGCGTACACACACTCGGTTTACATGACAAGCTTAACGCGGATCTGTCAGTTACTGCGTGGGAATTAGCCGCATTGTAAGATAGACAGAAGCGAAATGGATTGTAAACTGTACACGTTGCCAGCATCACGTGCGTTTATTTAACCGCTGGTCAAATTATGCAAATTACAAGAGCAGCATCCGTATTGTTCGAACGAGACCTCGACGCAGGTCTCGACGCTCGATACGCTCGCACGATTGTAATTTGTTTGGCGTGAATATTCTCGATAACGTCGCGTCCGACTCACCAATTCGATTTTCGCCGGCCGCAATCCATACGCAGTAATGTACGCTCGATTACTCGCACGTGTATTTGCAAATTTGCTTCGTGTTTATTTGCGCCATTCGGTGTTTCTCCTCCCATTTTTCCATCCTTCACTTCGTTACGTCGACAATACTGGTCGGAACAGAAAATTGCAAACTGTTGCTTCGTTCAACGTTGCTTGACGTGAAGCTGCATTCTAAATTATTTCTCAGCATACAAGATTACAAGCGACGGAGAGAGAGGGTAATATTTATTGTAAACGGACGTCATAAATGAAAGATTTACGATAGCCCGCTTCGTGACAAACTGGCGAATTAACGGCGAGTTAAATTAACGGCGCGGACGGAACCGCAATTAAGCGCTCGTGTAAAACAACGCGCGACTATTGCGAATCCACTTGTCGTCGTTCATGGAGCAACTAAAAAAATCTCTTAAAAGTGACGAGGAAGAAACCGCGGTTCTCGCGCAAGAAATTTCCATCTGGTGACATTACTCCAGATCGCGAGGTGTAAAGCTCGTTCATTCCCGTTCTCTCTCTCTCTCTCTCTCTCTCTCTCTCTCTCTCTCTCTCTCTCTCTTCCTCTTTCTCGTTTGTCGCTGTCCTTTCTTTTTCCCTTCTTGCGTCTTTGTGCGAATATTGCCGTGTACTTCCCTCTTATTATGGCGTATATAACGGGATAAAGGGATTGCGTGGTCGCTTAAAAGGATGGAAAGCATTTACGTCGTGGAACTACTTTACGGGAATGCGTGGAGATATGAATCGCGCTCGAGGAACATATGTGGCGCACCTAAATAGTCCATATTTAATATTCAACGTTAAATTGATATTGGATATTAGACAATGTACAAAAAATATATATTTGTAAGTATAAAATTATATACAAGGGACACACAATATAAATGGAACAAATTGTATGTGGAATATATGAAACTCGTCCAGTAATTTTCTAACATCTTGGAAAATACGCACATTAGAAAGAAATGTTTCAGACAATAATTATATTATATTAAACGATGTATCGACCATGTTGGCTTGTCTTGAATAATGCCGTTAAAATTGTGAAAAATTATTAAGAAACTTCTCTAACGGATATTTACATTTTCGTTACATGTTCTTGTAGCTAGTTTCAAGATGTCTTCAGCATTGATACGTTTTTGCGTGAAAACCGAAATTCTCAATACCTTTTTAACTTTTAATAACGCTTTATACCTATCCAGAAAAAACCTTCGATGCTGTACGATACTCTATTTAACGTATGTATTGCTTTCCATTGCCACTTGGAGATACTCGATATTTTTTCGTCGTGGGAATCGCACTTTATTAATTGTTCCCGATTTCGATGAAGAATGGCTGTACGCCCGTAGGAAGCGCACGAATTTAAGCTTTACAACGGTTTTCGTGTGACATCTCTACGACCACTAAAACCGAAAATACCAATAAATGTATCGAGTCGCGCTGTCGAACCGCCCGCCGAGATGGAGCGCGCCGGCATCTGTCACGCGATGTGTGTAGGTGATGGCAGGTCCGCGTTCCTCCGCGTACAATGTAGCGTACGCGATGCAGTTGGAACGCGGCCTTGCCCCCACCACTATCGTGTATCGTGTTTGGCCTCGCAAACGTCGAGTCATTCACCCAACTCGCCCGCATATCGGTGTCCATCGCGCCAGTGTGTGTGTGCGTGCGTGCGTGCGTGGTGCGTGCGTAGAGCGTCAGCCAGTGCCATCTGGCGGGAGCGCCATCAAAATCGAACGCGATCGTGCCGGGACTCAACAAGACGTAACTCGCGAACAGATGAACGTAAAGACACGCGGTAAAAAGTGACCATCTTCGCTCGCGATCCCGCGTGTGTTTGCAATGCGGTTTTCTCGTCACAAAAAATCAAAAAACTCTCGTAGCCGAATGCGTCGTGATAAATTTCACTCCCAGGGAAGTCACGAAGCAGTGGAGCCGCGCTTGAGTTCTCTTTCTCGTACCTCCTTCGCACTTTCTCTTCGCGAAAATGATGTTTATCACCAACCGTTCGTTTACCGCGAACTGTAGGATTAAGTAGAACGTAGCTTAAACACTAAGTAGTTATACTTCGAAGACGAATAATTTGCAAACTCACGTTGATATTAATAAGAATCGAGAAATGCACCACGCAAGACAACCTGAATTTGGATTCAAAATAATTTAATTTCTTCAATCAAGTGGTTCGCAGCCCGCTCGGGAACTCCGAAGAGCTCGTCCTGCATTTAAATGACGATGAAAGTTTTCTCCTTCCGCGTAATCAGGGCTTTCCCTGAGATTTTTGGCTGCTGAGTGTGTCTGTTTTGCATACACAATTAAATCGCGCGTTTAATTAAGTGGGTTGTGCAATTCGTACGTAATATTGCGTGACTGCATGATATTACGAAAAATCTGTAATCACGAAGAAGTCTTACGTGGCAAAAATTGCCGAAGAGCATAACAAGTGCCGCTCGCTTTCGTTATTCTTTCTATTAAACGAGTGAAAAATCGGCAACAAGCATCGGCTCTTCGGCCTGCATGCAACAACCGGCATGCAACAACCGATTATGCGGCGAATGCGTTGAGATCCGCAAACACACAAATCGTACCTCGCGCCTTATCGCGCGGTCTTGTCATAAACTGTGATTTTTCCGCAGGCGACGGAAACGTCAGCTTCGAGGAATTCGTCGAGATCGTCAGCAACATCGGTGCGAGCACAGCGGCGCCCACCGATCAGCATCAGGAGGAGCAGGAATTGCGGGACGCATTCCGGGTGAGCGAAATAGACACGACCTCGTGTCCGATTTGTCCCTTCCGGCCGCCTCCTCTATCGCGCAGCCTTATCGACCCTGCGATCGGTAGATAAATTTTAAGCACGTTCTTGTATGTACGTAGACGAAGCGCGTTAAATATCGAGCGCGACGTACTTCTCGCGGACCCGGGCAATTTTCGAGCGGATTATCGGGATCGCTTTCACTCAACTTTCTTCCTTACATCGTCAAAGTGGAGAGGATTTGCTACAACTGGCTGCTCCTTGAAGCGGGAGATAGAGGCGGTTTCTCTTCGGAGGGCGCGAGGAAGCTGCGGTTTGCAAATTGCTCCCCGGCGCTTTCTCATTTAGGACGTGACATTGTACGCAAGAGAAATGCAAAAGTTCGTGACGATATTCGCGACGTGCACTATGCATACCTGAGCGTTCTATCCATATTTTATGTATCTTATTAATATAAGTTCCTCTAGCGCGGTAAGAGCTGTCACCGCTCGGCTCGTGCTTCATCGCCGAGGATACGTAATTCCTCGACGGGCGTAACTGCGCTCGCGAGAATCGCGAAGTGACGGGCGACTCGACATTTCGCGGCTCAACGACTCGCGCCAAGCGCAATCCTCGGTCTTTTCCGATCGGAATAAATTTCGATCAGGTGTTTCGCCGCGTTCGCGGCCCTCCTCCAGAATTTCCGACACGTTTACCATGAATGTGAAAAATCTACGGACGGCCCGATGACATTGTAGCCGTAATACCCATATACATATGTATAACACCGTTATTTAAAGCGGCGCGTGCGAGAGGCCGCAAGGAAAAGCGCGGCGAGGAAACGCTTTACGAGCGCTTAACCCTGAGCGCGATATCGAACGAACGGCATGAAATACGTGGACGTGCGCAGCGAGGATCGCGGATAAACGGCTCGATGAATGGCTCAGGGGGAAATTGCATATACAATATATATATATATATATATTTACGCTGCCGCGAGCGAAATTGCGCGTGGACCCTCCGGAGCGTCCCGCGCGGAATCCTCCAAGTTGTTAGCAGGGTGACGAAGGAGACGAAGAAAGGCGGCCGAGGAGTTCAAGATTCGTGTCCGCGGTTTAGGCTCACGCGTCGTGCGCCCCGAAACGAGGGGAAACAATTAATATCTTCTGGAGAAACCGAGAGCGGCCGCGCGACCCCTCCTCGAGGCTCTCCCGGCGGAAGGAAACCGCGCGCGAGATATTCTTGAGTAGTGAGATAATCGACGGATCCCGAGTTCATTCCGCCGGATCTTGGCAAGCACCGGCTGGGAGGATTCGAGGATATACGAGGTCGTATCGACGCGGGATCATACGCTTCGACTTTGTAGGCGCGAAACACCGGGGGGGGACCAAAGGATCACAAAGCTTTGCATTTTCCTACTTGTTTTCACAGCGAATGTGATGTCACGGCTTTCTTGGGTGAATAATGTCGAATATATGTCGATCGTACAACGTAGTAGTAGGTTACCTTTCGCTTCGCGCGTGAAACTATAGATGAGTCGGGATCACATCGGGGCGACGTCGCAGGGCTGAGGCGACGTCGTGGACGTCGTGGAGACAAGAAGGAAAACGGGAGGAAAATTCGCATTCCGCTCGCGTGGCGCGCTAATTGCCCGCGTCGTGATCCGCACGGCGGCGCGTTTCGCGCCGAGCCGGGATGGACTCGTCGCGACTCTCTTGACGAAAGATCCATCGTAATTTCATCCGGACGTACTCCCAGGAGCGGTGTGAGTCGTTCGCGCGGAAGGAAAAGCCGGCACTTACACAGCCGCGGGGCGAAATTTATCGGAAGCTTCGGAAAGTTCTCAAATGAGGAAAATAAATCCACGGCGTAGAAGTTTGTGCGCGCGCGTTCGCTCACGACGGATGAACTCTCTCTCTCTCTCTCTCGCTCTCTCTCTCGCTCTCTCTCGCTCTTTCCCTCTCCCTCTCTCTCTCTCTCTCTTTCTCTCTCATGGAGGACCGACGTGAAGGGATTTTCGTAGAAACGGGAAAACGCGAAAGAGGAGGTTACAGAGGTGACAGAAAACACGGACTGCTAGGACTGCTAGGAGTCTTCTCGATCGGTGTACGTTCCTCTTCCAAGTATGGTCCGATATTTGTTCGGATTACAGAGACGGCCGCCATTCGCGTAGCCAGCGTCAGGTCCTGTTCACCCGCGCGCAGGATGTCCGACACTTGATGTTTCACGGAGCCCCCACGGAGGATCTAATTCTCTCGCGTTGACCTCTCGGTTCCTCCGAGACGAATGTGTTTCGACGTTTCGGGCAGGAATCGGGAATCGGGAATTCCCGTCGAAAACGGCGGGAAAACGTCGGGAGCGATTCGCGTAAATCGCAAGACGAGGCTGACTCGTACTTTGCTCGCTCAAGCGAGAATTTTTCTCCCCTCTCTATTGTTTTTTTTTTTTCTTTCTCGTTTCCTTCCTCCTTTTCCGGTCGAACACACTCTCCGAATTTAATCCAATTCGCGCGGATGGTTTTCGGCAGTCCTTGATCTAGAAGAGGGACCGATAAAGCGGTTTAATTCTCTCCTCTCTCTCTCTCTCTCTCTCTCTCTCTCTCTCTCTCTCCTTCGCGTGCGACGGGAGCAATTATAATAATTCCACTAAGTCGTTAAATCCGGAAGGCTTATTAAGATCGAGGAGCTGAGTAGCGACGAAGTCGAGCTGATCCCGATTACCCATCGAACTTTTTGTCGCAGGTAAATGAGGACTCCGTACGCTCCTCCGCGAAGTTACGAGTCGAAGGAACGGAGGACGCGGTTCGCTAAATTTACTTTAGATTCTTTGCTCGTTACGTAGTCCTTTTGCTTCCAGCCGCGGTTAAAACTCTCACCTGCATGCAGGGGAGTAAGAGGGTAAAGGGGTGAATGAGAGGGGTTTCTGGGGAGAAGAGAAGGAAAGGAAGGCGAGGAAGAAGATGAAGATGAAGAAGAAGAAGAAGAAGCGAAGGGAACTTTTGTCTCCCGCGTTTCTCGCATGTGACGTAATCACTGGGTAGATAAACCGACAAGATTACGCCGCTACTCGGGATTCGCTGATCTCCCTGAGTTATCCGGATTAAAGACGTAGCGGTGTTTCTTCTCAACGCGATATCGCGCTTGAAGATAAATGAGTTTCTTGTCGCGATGCTCAGATAACCGATACAATTCGATTTACAACGATATCTCTCAACGAGGCAGCCGGGAGAAAAAGCGATACCTCGGTGATAATTAATTGAAATGTGATCTCGATTAAACTCGCGCGCAACTTCCCTCTTCGTGTTCCTCGTGATTATTACTGGAAACATGCGAGATATTTAATTTATTAGCCGACAAAGAGCAGCATTGGAGCCACAGTCGCGGCAAATATTTCAAAATATAGTCGCCGTCGCTTGCCGAATCGGATGGACGAACGAGTCGAGAGCACACGGCCGCGATTGTGCGCGTTGATTCGCGCAATTAAAGTCGGATCGTCGGGTCGGGGGATTTCCTCGAGTTTGGTAGTCGCGCGTCGCTTAATACCGCTTTAGCGTCGCAAGTTGCTCAGGCTTATCTTGACTGACAATGAGAGGAGGACCACCTTTCGGTGGCGACCCAGTTCCAGCGTCGTGTTGCCATCGTTCCGAAAATACGCCGAGAGAGATAGTAGGCCTATGTGAGCTGGAAAGATGGTGTTTTAAAACGAGATTTAAGCGCCGAAGAAGAGACGTGACGACAGCAGTCAAAACAGTGGAAGTCGGCGTCCGCTCGACGATACGCTCGCGGCCACTGACGTTCACTTTTGCTCGCTTCGACTATTCTCGTCTAAGACTGCGTTTCTAAGACTCTAGCACTTGATTCCAAGCTGTCAGTTAGTCGCGCGAATCGACTTGTAACGAAGAAAGTCGAGTCCCGCCGAGACTTTAGTCAGCGGGTAAAGATGGCGGCGGCGGGACGACAACTTAATTAAACCACTTTCGATTATCTTCGCTCACTCGTGTTTGCTTTCAAGCGGACGCGTCTTCGGGACGGCGGGAGGTGAAATGAACGAACGAACGAACGAACGAACGAACGAACGAACGAATAGGTGGAACGAAAACTTGTGCGCAGACTTGTGCTCGCTGTTTAGCGAGGCACGACGCTGGTAACGTAACGCGGTAATGCAATACACACGCGAAATAAAAACACGCTCGCCAATTTCCCTTCCTCGTCCTGTCGTCCCCTTTTTAGACGCATTTCATTCCCTCGCATGTTGCTGCAGCGCTTTTTCGCTCGGGGATGTATCCTCGGATTCTTCCACGATGAAAGGAGGCGGAGTGGTGCAGGTTGGCTTCGCGTGAAAGCAACGCGACCTCCATTAAACCGTACACTACCCATCGGCAAATGTTTCGAAACATTCGCAACACGTCCCGTTTTCGACACGACGTTTCGGTCGACCTCCGGCGAGAGACGACGCTCCGCTCCCATTCCCGCGCTATTCTTCGGCTCCGAAGCCGAAGATGTCGCGCTCTCCGAGGAACGGCGTTTTGTCCGACGAAATTTCTCCTCTCCGACGTCCCCGCCACCATTCATCCCGTGCATTCTCATCCCGGTCACATTTCTCCCCTCGTCGTTTTCGCGCCGCGCCGCACGGCTGCGAGCACGGCGTCGTCGCGTGATACGCTCGTCGTGCTCGCAGCCGACATCCCTGCGATCGAGATTCCGCGGCCGGGAGCGCGTTCCGTCCAGTCCGCGAGGCTCGCCCTCGTTCTCGGGACGTCGACAAAAGCGAGCTCTCGATCCCGTTTTTCTTTCTCTCCCTTTTTTCATTCTCTCGTCGCTGCGCTGTCCATCTCCGCCGATGCGCCGGTCGACATCTCCGCTTGATTCCTTCAAGCGAGGCAGTCTCTGTTCATCCCCCCCCCCCCCAGCGCGATTCACCTTGTCTCGGGTAATTGTCAGACGGGCAAGAAAATATTTGCTAATTGTCGCATCAATATCGTTTTGCGGCAAATGTGAGGAAAAGAGAGCCGTAATAGTTGG